GCGGACACGAAGCTCACTGTGAAGCTGCTGATATGTCGACATCACACTCCCAAGGTAGCAAAAGCGGGAGGTGGTTTCCAATACTTCAGCACTAATGCCGATTTCCGGCAATATTGAAGAATGCACCTCCGGTGAAGGCTGAAAGAGACAGACAGTTTTGCTTGTGTTGATGGTGAGCCCGAAATTGGCCGCTGTCGAAGCCAGAGCACTAGTCATGTGCTGTAATTCATCCGCGCTGTGTGAAAACAACGCACAGTCGTCAGCAACAGCAACATACGGATAGTTGTCTCACAGACTAGAGTTCTCGCATCGAAACGACGGATGTTCAGCAACCCACCATCAATACGGTGCTCCACACGAACACCGTAAGCACAAGCGGCATCAAACGCACAGGACAACATCGCATGAAGATATATATTAAACAGGACAGGAGCTAAGACACAGCCTTGCTTCACACCAGTGACAACTGCAAAGTCATCCGAGGTCTCTCCACTCAGCTGCACCCTCGCTCGCATACCACTGTGCAGACATTCAATTCAACTTACAAACTTACGCGGGCAACCAAACTTACCCAACACCAGCCACAATGCCTCGCGGTTCACCGTATCAAATGCCTTGGTAAAATCAACAAAAAGCGAGTACAATGGCTGGTGTCGTTCTCTGCACTTCTCTTGCAACTGACGAGCCGCAAGCACCATATCTATAGTGCTGCGACCCGAACGGAATCCACACTGCTCTTCCGCCACGTTAGGTTCCACAACCTGACTGACAAGGCGGTTGTGTAGGATTCGGGCAATCACCTTGCCCACACAACTCAGCAAGTCGATGCCACGATAATTCGTGCAACATTGCTTGCTCCCTTTACCCTTGTACAGTGGTAGCAAAAGTGCATCCTTCAGCTCAGGAGGCACCTCCTCCTCAATCCATACACGTTGCACCAAGTGGTGCAGCGCAGTCAACAACGCGGGTCCGCCGTGTTTCAATACTTCAGGCGGGATCCCGTCGGCTCCGGCACACTTGCCGTTTCGCAGCTGAGCAAGTGCTCTCTGCGTCTCATCCAGTGTCGGCGTATCCGCCAGACTCGTCTTCACATCGTGCTGCTTCAGGCAGTTCAACGTAGGCCAGTCGATCTCTGAACAGTTGTTCAAGAGACAGTCAAAGTGATTTCGCCAAATCTGCATCGTGTCTGCAGTCGGTGTGCAGGTAGCGCCTACACTACCATCGATCAGTGTCTTCAGCGGATCCAATCTCAGTCCATACACCGCCTTCAATAAGTCAAAGAAATCCTTGTGTTGGCGGCGTTCGGCGTAGCATTCCATCTGCTTCGCCTTCTCCGTCCAGCATGCATTTTTTATGCGACGGAGCTCTCGGGTCAGTCGCCGTCGAAGTTTGCGAAACTGACTACTCTTCCCAAAGTCACTGCGGTCGGCAACATGTGCAGCAAATGCTCCATTCTTCCCCGACACCAATGCGCCGATCGTCGCATTGTTGTCATCAAACCAATCAGGCCGCTTATAGTTTGCGCGCCCCATGGTCTCCTCGGCAGCAGTTGTCACCTGATCGCGAATGTGGTGTCATAGGTCGCCCACTGTGGCTATGCAGTCCACATCACACAGGCGTGCAGCCATCACCTTCTCCAGCTTAGTACGTTTCGTCACAGTACCGGGGGAGTGAACGTTAAATTTACGCCGATCCACGGCAGGAGTGCAATACATAGACTTACGAAAATATAGGTACAGTTTGGTCCGAACCAATTTGTGATCAGTGCCACACTCAGCTCCACGCAGTACACGTGTCATGCGCACTTCACGCATATCACGCTGACGTACGATGACATAGTCGAGCAGGTGAGCGTGACCACTCGGTGGGTGCGTCCAAGTTGCTATATCATTCGCACTCAGTGCAAACCGAGTGTTCGTGATCGTTAGGCCGTGAGTGGCACACAGTGAGAGCAGCCTGTCACCGTTCGCATTCGCTGAACCAATGCCATGCGCACCGATAACATCTGCCCACGCTGATGCATCACGCCCAACGCGCGCTTTGAAATCACCCATCAGAAATAGTCGGTCGCTCCTCGGCACAGACCGTATCACGGAGGATAGTTGGGTGTAGAATTGATCACGCGTTTCATCAGGATAACGCATGGTCGGACCGTACGTGTCTATAAAAGCGGCAAACTTACCTCTTCCGAGTCGTAGGCGAACAGTCATCAGTCGCGCGCTGATGCCCGTTGGTTCATCCACCAGCATGCGATGGAGACGATCGGATATTGCAAATCCGACCCCATGTTCACGTGGTGCTGAGGCGGCGTTGCCCACCCAATAGAATGTGCAGCCAGCACCCGCTTCATGCAACTTACCTTGCTCAGCGAGCCGAGCTTCACTGAGCGCCGCAATATCGATGTGGTAGCGCGCCAGCTCCATCGCGACCAGTGCAGTGCGTCGCTCCGGACGCTCGCTGGAGTTCCGGTCCAGTAGTGTGCGCACGTTCCAGCACCCGATGCTGAGTGCTTTGCGCGCAGGCATACGATTGCATTGGTGGGCAATCGTACGCGTGGTGGTCGTTGTGCTTCGGAGGTTTGCTTGAGGGACTCCACCCGGATCTTTTGGCTCAATAGGCTGACCCACAAGGCAGTGGAGAGCAGATCCAGCTCGGGAATGTGATTACAGAGACAGATTGGGATCTGCTTGACGGCCGTCACACGTAGCCTAGGAAGTACTGGAATATTTTGTTTATGTTTTGCGACCGTAGTAGGATACACCTGCGATCACGGCCAGACGCAGGTGGGTTTTGGCGGGTTTGCACTAATTTGACCAGGGGCTGCCTGGGTTGAGGAGGGGAGGAGCAAACCATTGAACACCCGGAGGTGTCCTCCCACCGTCAGAGACAATGCGTGGAGCTCGTGCTTTACGCCAATATAGCTGTGAGCTTATAACGCGTAGACCTGTTGTCTCCCATGGCTAGGTTTTACGGGAAGAGGGCCATCGACCACTTCCAAACCTCCGGAGAGGATGGACTAGGATACTGCCAGGGCGCCCAATCCTGACAGGAGAACGATTCGGGTCCTCCGCCAAAGCCTTCGATTAAATGAACACCCGAAAGGCAGCGAGTCTAGCACATGGTCAGTTCACTGACTCATGCGGATTGGTGTACTGGATCATAGTAGGGAGAAAGTTGAAACCCAAATCTCATCCAGCGGTCGCCACGTGGAGGCGCCCAGGACATGAGCAAATGGCAGAACAGTAGCAGCAGTGGGTAAATCATCTGTTAGGATCTAGCCACCACCAGCCTCAGCGCACCATATATATATATATATATATATATATATATATATATATATATATGTTCGCAGTCTGTTAGCAGACATTGTGCCAGCAGAACCATGGCATAAGAACAACAGTGAAGATGGTATTACTAATGTTATTAAAAGGAATGGGAAACGCTTTTTTGATTTTACACACTCCATTTTGTATTTTTGTTTTTGTTTTCTGAGTTTTTGTGTGCATCAAATGTATGGTGAAATCGCTGAACAATATTGACGCCACTGATATCTGTTGCGGGCCAATACGTATAATGTTTCCAAGCACTGCCATTCAGCATCTCGTGGTCCCCAACCTGCAAGGCAGACTGGTCCGACTGCCGCCAAACTTGAGGTTGCCTTCTTCATACTGCTTCTCCACGTCATCGACTGTCCACCGCGGCACTTCTTCTAATCGCTCCCTGGGAGTGCAAATAGAGCTCGACGTGGAAGGCGATGGGCTGGCATGCGCAGAACGTGCACGGGCCAACGCATGCGATGTCGGAGAATAACGTCCTGAAGACTGGCACTATACGCCCCAAGCACGCGGGCTCGCACCTCTGCGTTGGTAACGTGGTGTTACCACCACACCCAAGCAATCCTTCGCAGACAGCGATTATCAAAGACTGATAGCCGCTTCATATCTTCCGAGCGAATGGGCCAAGTCTCACAGCCGTACAAGAGTACTGCACGGACAGAAGCATTGTACACCCTGCCCTTGAGCTTGAGACTGACATCACGACGACGCCATAGGTGTCACAGTTTGATGAATGCAAGGCAGGCCTTTGCATTCCGTTGTGAGACTTCATCTCCAAAACCGGCACCAGCCGTGATGCAACTCCATATTGACATCCATCCACGTTGTCTGCCACCTTGTTGACATTATGCGCAATTGTAGACTTTCTTAGCTCTACAATTAACGACCTATGAGTTTTCAAATTCGATGAAATACAGTAAGTGGCTCAGCCATGACCACTTAAACAGTGGATAGAAGTCAAATACTTATTCGTATTTGTGCTAACGGCTGCTCCTGAGTCGTCGACACCAGCAAACACGGGCAGGCGACGTGGATGTCGGTCTGACGATTCAATAAGCAGGATTATACACTGACTTTTACCGCACTGAAGATGCCACCTCGCATGGTGGTGAAACGTATGCGATCCCTTTACCAAGCTCGGAAAAACGATCAACAGGTGAGAAACCAAGCCGGACTACCAGTGTTTCAAACTGGCTCATGCTTTCAGTCTTCGCGGGCCAGTTATTTAAGTGCATCTTTCCTAATTCAATTGACAGAGAACTAGATGTACACGTAATACGTAGTAACGAATGCAGGCAAAACACGCCCCAGACCGCAGTTAGGCAAGAACACAACACAGTACAACACAGAGTGTATTTGGCGAAGCAGTGCGACATGGCTCACATGACACGAGTTTAAGCATGAGTGAGGAACTGTTGATTGGTAAAGGCGAGGAAAACAAATAAGAATGCGGTGTGACTGAACTAACTAATCAATATCAGTGACGTGTGTAACAACACGATAGGATTGTTCCGCTTACTTGTTGCACGTAACCGTTTTTCACGCATTACTAATCAAAAGATGCAAGTAATGAAGTTATGATTAAAGCTCAGGGAGGATCACAGGCGGTCGTGTCTCGCACTTAAGTTTATTTTGTGCGACAGTTTGGTATCAACTTGAGTTGAATCAACCGGTTTTTCTCTTCACCGCCGTTGAGTTATCGGTCCGGAACACCAAATGTGTGTCTCCGTAAACGTCATCCAACCGACCGACGCTGGGCCAAATCTTACTTCTTTTGTCAAACGCATGCTCTCCTGTACGTTGCCAGGGTGCTGGAAACGCTGCCTCTTGGCGCGTATAGGGCCGGTCCCATTTTTCGCTGGTTACCGCCTGAAATGTTACAGTTTGTTAGCACAAGGTGTCCGTGTTAATGTGGATATAGTTACCGACATTTAGGAAATGTTGAAAACTGTTGAATGTACCCAATCTCAACCAGAATTCGAAAATAATAAAATATCCCTTTTCACTGGGCAATTTCATATACTTAAGGACAACAGTTTCCAAACTCTATTTTTCCTGGGTACATACTTTTCTCTGCTATTCACTATTCATGGTCCCAACAAAACTGGTCCGATTCCATAAGACTTCATCACAGTCCGTTTAGCTGGCCACGGCGAATTATGAGTTCCTGGCTACATCTGCTCTGTTGGGATACCGGCAACAGCCAGCCATGGAAGAAAGTCACTTGTGATTTCCTTAATTGTATCTCATTGGCAGCCGCGTGGCAGCGAGACCTTGGTGTTACACACTGGCTTACGGCTGATGTCTTTCTTTTCGTTTTTCTTCATTAGTATGCCCATTAATAAATGCAAAACCGGATCATGTAAACGAATGTGCTACAGGCTTCTATGTCTGTCGTATGTACTGTGTTAAGTCAAAAATTGTGTTTATGCACCCACAGCGGGTAAATATTTAACTGCGACCACATGCACATTCTCGACATTGTACCAAAAGCAATAGGAACTCGAAGGAGTATTAATAAAGCAATAATGGTTTGCTAAGAGATAGAGAAGACATCCTATTGCGAAGCACTTATTCGTTTGTATACAACCGATTTATGGTCGAGTAGATAGAGCGATAGATGAGAATTAACGGATAAACAATGGGTTCATTCCCCACCGCATATAAACATGTACTTCTGTCTGCTAGACGAACTTGCAAATATTCAGATAAAACGCTATTGAGTGAGTAGCTTGCGTCTGCAAATACCTTTGACGCCAGCACATTTTACAAGAATCGATGTGTGTGGACAAAATTACGTCAACGAAAGTAGGCATCAGAGTGCCGCTACATCGGGAAGATGTCTTAATGAACCAATGAGTATCTAACAGTGATTAGCCAGAAGTTCAGTTCTGTTCAGTTGAACAGGTTAAATCCGTGCACCGACTTGCGGCGTATCCAGCTGCCACCATTCACATCACCAGAATAACAATCGATAACAACGACAATATACTGAGGTTGAATGCAAGTCTCGCAGTCAATTTCATTATGCTGTGTCATCGACCGAGCACGTCGAGATCAGCCTAACTTGGTGCAGCGACGGCGTATAGTGTACGCCGAGGGAGCCAGTCGACGGGTATCCGGAGGATATGACCTAGCCAATGTAAACGGGTAGGATTCAGCAAGCACTCCAGTGAGGAACCAGAAGGCCAAACCAACTATAGGATCTTAACATCGCTCACCTGCGTTCCCACCGGATATTAGCAATACTCAGTAGGCACAGGTGGTCAAGCACGGCCGAGTTTTTAATGTCTTTATCGCGAACGGGCCAAGTCTCGGACCCATACAGCAATATCAATCTTATCGCGATACTATACATCTTATGTTTCATTAGCAGACTGATGTCCTGCCGTCTCTATAGATGGTTCCTCATCTGGAAAGGCACACGAGTCTTTTGATGCACGAAGTAACCTCTTCAGAAATGTGAACATCAGAGATGATACATCTACCAAAGTAAGTCAACCTCTCCACCACTTTCAGTGGCTGTTCGCTGATAGCTACAAACGCTGGCGTGTCGGTCCAATCTTGCAACAACACCCTGCACTCTGAAGCGGAAAAGCACATGCCGAATCTTGTAGCGCTACACTTCCGTCTGTTCAGCATTGTTTGGATAACCATTGCGTCAGACTCAAGGAGAGCTATGTGGTCCGCATACTCTAGACTTACCAGTCGGTCACCTGGTAGAACTTCCGCTCTGGGGAAGTCTGCAACTACCAAGTCATTCATGAGCATTTTGATCGCAAAATCGAAAAGAAGGAGAAATAGGACAACCCTGGCGAACCCCACTTGTCATGGGTAACTCAGGACAGATATTCCCGTAGACGCTTACAAGGCCCCGGTAGCCACGATAGAGAGGCTGCATAATGGAAAGCAATTTATCCGGCACGCCTTTCAGGGCTAGGAACTGCCACAAGTTGGCATACTCATCAGAGTCGTAGGTCGCTTTCGGGTCAAGGTGATCACTATACTTGGTCATCTGTATGTCTCTGCTCCCAAACTTGGCGAAGAGTAAGTAGGTGGTCGAAGCAATCACGACCACGAAGTCAGTCTGGCTTTCTGTGATTCGATTCTTACTGGGACCAGTAAATTGTCGGAGAATGACATCCTTGCGAACTTTATAGGCTACGGAAACAAGACTAATGCCTTGCTCATTTTCGCACAAGACATGTTGACCCTTTTTTCATGATGGGCACGGCAGTTGCCAGTTGCTAGACTGAAGATACCTCTTCGTTGTTAGTACGGTCCGTGTGGTGGTACTGAAACGATGCTCATCTGCTTTTGGATCTAGCACTCGCAATTTTGACGCATATTACTGTGCTTACACTTATCCAACTCGACGCTACCGGCGCTATCCAGTGGATCTAATATCGTGTGTGACACCCTACCGTGCGGCCGCACTTTAATTCGTCTCTCGCTTTGCCCTCTGTGGCGACTCCAATTCTCCCCACACACTATTGTGCGTGCGCCCGTTCGAACCAGTTCGACGAGCACTACTCAGTGCTTTCCATCTCCTGGATCTAACCTGTGTGAATTACACTCATGCTCCAGTTCACAGTTTTCGGCATATTCTTTGCCGAATTCCACTTGTGTAATTACAGCAAACCGGTCTTTCGGAAAAGATTTTGGTCTCATTCGGAAGAAAAAGTTGAGGACTCCCCAACTACGCAGCAACCATCCCTGTAAGTTGCAGCATAACAAACCTACAGCCCTTTTGCTCCGCTCGTCAACTGAGCAGGTCTAGGGACGCTTATCAGCGCTCCACCTGCATCGTCGCTTAAGGCAGGCCGAGTAACACACGCTGCCGCTTTGTGTGGGTGGGTGTGTACCACTGCGAGTCGACTGATCGCTAAACCTGACAGCTGCGCGTTACGACCTCCATTTGCCTCTACCGACTGACCTTGGTGAGGTTGAACAACTCTCAATTCGTGTGCGTGTTCTGACCTGTTCGTGCGTCACCCCTAGCGCAAAGTACACTCATCAAGGTGAGCGCTTAGATAGGCTTTGCTGTAAAAAATAAGAGGACGACTAGCATTCCAATGGTTCAACGTCGCCTATGTTGCGCAGACAACTGCAGTAAACTGCTTAAGATCAGTATTACCTGTTCTAGCTGCATTAGATCATACTGTCCGCAATGTGTAGGCTAATCCGTCCAGGAAGTGCGACAGACAAACCAAGTTGCTGACACAATTTGATTTTGCCCAACCTGCCAAGTCATTCCAATCGTCAACTGTTTATCTTTGCTCATGAAGAAGTGCGACAGGGTGACTGAGATAATCGCGCAATTTGTAAATACTAAGATCCCTCCCCCGGAAGTAAATACGGCCACGATAATCTCTCACCTAGCCAAAGTAAGCTCTGAGTATAAACCGAAGAATAGAGCTAGACGCTCCAACCGCACTGCAGCGTCTGTGACTCTAAATCCACTGGGTCACCTCACTCCCATAAGTGGGCACGCCTCAAAAATGCCTGGTTCCACTTCTCCAACCATAGAGGCTTCACTTGGAGATTCCTCCATGACGCCGACAGCTCAGAGCCGAAGGAAATCCGGTGTAGATAGCAAGCAGGTAACGTACGCATAGATTGCGTCGACAAACACACCGGGAGCGACACACATAGGTCCATTTTCAGTACCGAGCACGAGTGGCGCGAAGCAGATTTCAACGTCAAATCCAGTGGTGCACTCTAAACAAAATGAATTGCCGGCAAAAAGTATAAAGCCAACACTCGATAGACAAAACCACGCTGCGTTAACTCTCGTGTGCACCAATGTTCCCGAATCCAAATCTGGAACAATAAAAGGCAAGTTGCAAGACGATCGCAACCAGTGGAGTTCCATCTGCGAGGCAATTAACATTCGGGTTGAGCCTGCAATGCTGCAACGCGTAGCGCGTCACCCGACCTCAGTGCACTCTGGTGAACCTCGAATTCTTCGAGTAACACTAAACTCAGCAGATGAGACAGAAGCTTTCTTGCTCTCAGCAGTTCGTCTTCGCAACTCACTGAGCGTAGTACGCATATTGCCTGATCTACCTTGGAAAGATCGCCCAAAAGAAGCAGTTGACCAACGCGGCATTGCTAATAGAGATAACAAGAAAACAATATTTGTTCATGGTGTTCCTGAGCTTCTGCATTCTTTTGATCACGATGCACAAACTCATGATCGAGAGCAGTGGTGCTACATCCGCGAAGCACTCTCTGTTGACAATGTTATTGCCAAATCCCTGACAAGAGTTCCGTCATCACCTAACTACAACGGCTGCAGTCCAAGGCTAATTAAAGTAATACTACACTCCGAGGGAATGACGCAAGTTCTGTTGGATAGCTGGTTCAAGTTTCGAGCTAGGCTGCCAGCAGAGATCCGGCTAAAAGCAGCAGGCGAACGACCAAATGTCGGAAGCAATTCAACGGAACTTGCAAACGCAACAAATTCCTTATCTGCACAGTTCTGCGGAGAGACCAACACAACAGCGCCCACGGCACACATGAGGACCGAGCACAGCACCAGTGAAACTCCTGTTCAGCAACGCTTAATAATGTCATGCAACACGACTGAACTACATAAACAAAAAAACGATTAATTGCCGGCCACCTAACGGCCGGCTTAAAAGCGAACACAAACTTGACATCTATCAAGGAACTCCTAACAACAAAAGCCGTATCTTGCATGTATACAAACGCTCAAGGTCTTCGAAGCAAGTTGGCCGAACTTAGAGAACTCCATGTCTCACAACCGCGGGACCTCGTCATGATTACAGAGACATGGTTAAACCCTGAGATAACCGACTCTGAGATCCATTTACCCGGTATGTCACTGCTTCGGACCGATAGAA